TCCAACTCTGCTATTGTATTGTATTGTATTGTATTGTATTGTATTGTATTGTATGTATCCTGACATAACTTCACTAGCACAGACACAGTGTGAGGCAGGGGCATTTGCAGAAATGTAAGAAATGACAAGGTGAGGGCCACAGCTACGTGAATGTAGTCCTGCCCCAGTTTTATTGTGTGACACATTTGAAAAAAGACAGGGCTTTGAACACATTGTCACTGCCATCTTCTAGACTTCTTTGAACTTTGGTACTGGCTGATAAGTGTATCCCACATGCATTTTCTCACTGGAAGTCCAGTCATTTTACATTTTATACAAAGTTGGTCATGAGGAATGCAAAAGGGTTAAGAAGCACTTTTAATTTCACCCTTTTAACAATGGTGGTAAACGTAGCCCCTTATATTGCCCTGTTGGTTTACAGATAATCTGAGAATGGAGCCTGTGAGTGTGAATATTTATTATTGTGGATGTTGTGTCCATCTGTTACCCACCTAAGAGCACATGTGTAATAAAAAGAAATGACAAGAGGTTGAAAAGCAATTTCTTTTTAAGGTGTAAAGCCCTCATATTTCATACAACATATAAGAATTAAACACTAAGCCCTTATTGCCAGTTGGAACTCTGAAAAGAAGCGTGAAAAATAGAGTTACTGTTTGGTTTCTATTCATATCTTCAGCAAGCTGTTACATGTTAAACTGTACTGAAAACGGCCAAGACTTTTTCAAAGCCATCCTTCAAATTGGCATGACTTTAAAAAATGAATGCTTGTCCAGCTTTATTTGTGTGGGTGGTGACTATTCCACTGGGGGTTATTTTTCTCTTTTTAAAATAGAGTATTCACACAGCACTTCCCAGTTTGTGAGTTGACAAATGCCCCTGTATCAGTTTTACTCCAACCCCTTGGGTATTTTTATTATTGTTATTTAATTTTTTTCCCCAGGAAGTAAGGGGCAATTTTATTTGTGTCTGATATAATCTGGATTAAAAGAAAAAATTAAAGCAGAAAGATGCATTTTTTTTGAAAAAGCCAGCAGATAAAATACCAATGTCCTGGGTAGTGTGATGTGAAGAGACCAAATGAGTAAGAGGAGTTTAAAAGAAGCATTCAGAGCCAAAATATAAATAAAATAAAAATGCTAAATTACTGCTATACACAATGGTTGGTATACGGCTGTAAGAACATTTGGGAACAATTGTGACTTTGGTTTAATACCCCCTAGGGGCCTATACTGAAGCTTATTCTGTTTTATAACAGTAAAGCTTTCTATCTGTTAAAGAACATACTGGAAATGAAGAGCATGCTTCAAAGAATTCCTAGAAATACTTTAATGAAGGACGTGACCATTAGGTCTTGAACTGGTCCATGATTAGCAAGATATGCTGAAATACCTAAACATAGAATAAACATGCTATTTTTGTAGATATGGCAAGAAGGTAGTGAAGATGAAAAATAAGCAGTGAGTGTACATACTATATCTTAGTGTGTTTTAAATCTTAAAAACACAAAACAAAAAGAATTGTGGTGTCAGTAAGATTTTAAGGTATAATAGCAGTGATGACTAACCTTTTTGTCCTTGCGTAGAGAAATTGCACCACCATGCCTGGCGTCCCATTTTGGGCCTAGTAGGCCTCCCTGAAGCCTCCTGGGACAAAAAACATTGTGTGGGGGAAAGCACCACATCCCCCCAGTGCTCCCCCCCGGCCCACACACATGCATGCGTGACCTCCCCACCCTCCCGCGCATGCATGTATCTCCCGCATGTGCAGCAGAGACCTTAAAATCAGCTGGCCAGCCAGGAGGTGGCATGCATGCATGGTGGAGCTGAGTTGGGTGATGGCTCATGTGCCAGCAGAGAGGGCTCTGTGTGCCATATGTTCGCCTTCATGGACTTATAGCATTTTACTAATCGTCATACTACTTGTAGAGTCTAGAGATAGCATGTATTGGAATGTTGGTTCTCTCCAGGATTTGTAATATGGCCGAGTATTAATAATGATTTCCTAAGGATGGGAAACTATTTATAAAAAGTGTGGCTGGAGAAGGAGTGGGAGGGAGTCTTGGCAAAAGCATCAAAGATTTTTACGGAGGAGCCAATGTATGTCAGAAAGAGACCCAAAATAAGAAATTACGCAGTTCTTAACTTGGATGGGGAGGGAGGAACTGGTTTAGGGTAGCCACATCTGAGAATCTCTCAGGATATGTCTAGTAGGTTAGAAGGTTGTAGCTTGAGTCTGGTAAAATTTTGTCCATTAAGTCCATTAAGTCTGGTAAAATTTTGTCCATTAAGTGTAAGCAAATAAAGGATTGGACTCGATTGGAATTTCACTGTATCATCTTTAGACTTGGCCAGACATATCAACCAGCAGCAATTCACATATAATTGAACCAGTGGCTGTAAAGATTTAATCTTGTGCGAAATTGTAGAAACTTCTAGGCCCAAGCTCTGGCATAAGACAAGTGATGTTCAATTTTTCAGGTCAGACTAGGAATGGAATCTGGATTTGAATAAAATGGGGTATTTCATTAGTGCTGGCGCCAAGAAAATGGTACAAGATGAACTACTGTTTACATTACAACAGCTAAAGCCAATTTATGAGACCAGGCTGCCAAACTGTTTTGCTGCCAATGTTCTAATCACTTGCTGTGTGTTTCTTGGGACACTTTGCATGATTGACCTCTGTGAGCAGCAGTTTTAAGGAATGGTAGAAAAATTCCAGTTTCTTAAACGTTTAGATCTGAACCACACAATTTGTGATCCACTAAATTAGCTTTGATCTACCATTCAGGCATTGTTGCTTGTCATATGGTTGACCACCCATTCGCTTTTGCTGATATGAAAAGTGAAACATTCAGAGTTGTTTGCAATTGGAATGACCTATGTAAAATAATAATAATAATAAAAATAAAATAATAATAAAAATAAAATAATAATAAAATTATTTTCTGCTCCATACTTGTCACATTCATATCTTTTATGTTTTTCCATGTCTTTATTCTGTAGTTTAGTTTGATTTTTTTTTTTTTACTACACTTAACCTCTGTGTCTTTCTCTCCCAGATCTCATTTTAAATATGAACAAGCATTATAGACCTGACCTGGACCTTCTTGCTCATTCTTCTGGTGGAGCCTCCAGAACTCTTCCTTGAAATCCTAATGGTACTCATAGTAGGAAAAGATTATTCTTTTCATTATCATAGCAGATCTATCCAATGAATGTCTCAGCTCAGCATGGATTTGAACTATTTCTTACAAGATAAAAACCAACACATACTATATCACCATGGGATACTTTATATAATGGTATAAAGTCACTCATATTAAAAAATAAAGATGAGTTGGTATGAAACATACTGTACATCTGAGTGTGCTTTGGCATTTTCCTGTATTTAGATTTAACACAGCCATACAGTGTATAAACTGTGAAATATTTCTAATTATTAAAAATGATGCTTTTAGCTGGATCTGAAAACGATCACTGTGGAATTGTTTTAAGATTAACCTTGTCAAATATGCTTAAATGGGTTAGGGAAATACATAGAAATAATTCAGTTATAGGCAAAATTAACTAATGCTCTTTTTCATGGTGAGCTGCTGTAACAATTTTATATAGCAGTCAAACTATTTAAATACTAATGTTGCCTTCATGCTGTAATCACCATTCCAGTCAGATGTCATTTTAGCAGCCTATAGGGAATTCAGTCCCTTAATTATTCTTCAATACACAAACCAAGCATTCTTTAATTGGTGTAAATTGAACAGCGTTCCAATGCAAACAAGGAGAGGACAAACTAATCAATGATTCCGTACATGTCTATTGGAAAGCTATTGCCACTAGATTGAGTAGCTAATCCGCAACTCCACAAGCTACTATTGCTGAAGAATCAGACAGCTGCTAAACTAATGCTACCTCAAAGCATTGATCCTAGTGGAAACTTATGTGCAAAACCCTGAGTGGCAATCTTTCAGGGAGAAGACTGGTTCATATTTAATATATTCCAAAATGGTTTTTTTCAGTCAAGCTCATCCCATATATGAAGGATTAAATTTCTGTTTCGCATATTGAAAATTATAATCCCAACAGTATAGTTGAAGGCAGATGAACCTGACTCATGATATGGTGACCAACTTGTGTTCCCCATATCTATGTATTTTGTGGAGAACATTTCCTCAGATAATGATGTCTGTCATGATGGGACATCACAGAGACAATATCTGTACAATTCATTACATTGCGATTATCTCCATTCCACCTTCCAACTGAAGGTATCTCAGGAGCTTTTCACTAGAATGGCCCCTCTTCAACCCTCTGGATGTTTTGCATCAGTCAGAATTCCAAGCCAACATGGCAAGAAAAAAGAATTTTCAAAATGGTACTCTAAATGCTGACATCTTGGAAAAAATTATGATGGAATCTAGTTACCTTTTGAGCACCGGCAAGCCATAGAAACACAGGCTAGAGTTTATGCAAGAGTATCATCTAAATTAGATAACCAAAGGTTCCATACTGGGTCATCCTTCTCGATCTTGACTGATTCTCAACCTGAATTTTGCCTATTGGGAAACTGGATGAGATTTGTTCCCAAGTTGCAATCGCACGTCTAGGCCAACAGTAGATATGGTTGTAGAGAAAACAGCTGGCCCTTGGAATGAGAGTGGTCAGGAAATCAGGGGTCATGGTGAGAATGCAGATAAGGGGAAGCAGGAATATGGAGGTCAGCTGCCTGGGTTTATGGTTGAAAATCATGAGTTCTCAGCCTGAATTTGCTAGGCCTCTGTCTCTTCCTTACAGAAATAGAAGACATTGCAAGAACTCAACTGAATTGATTTGATTATATCCCTGAAAATATGAAAAGCAGCCCAGACTGTCATAATGGCAGAACCCACTTACAACACCAATGAATATATGAAGTTTTGATTTCAAAAGCACTAAGTGATTCTGGTTTGAAAAAAAAAGAATTAAAAACATAACTCTGACTTTTCAGTGACACCTTTTTGAATAATTCATGCGACAAAGAAAATGTTTATTGCTCCCTTTGTCAGCTCTTTCTATGAATGCATTTTCAGAACAACAGTACCATGGTCTTTAGAAAACCTATCCAGTTTTTCTTTAGGAAACCATCTATTCTACTAATTCTTGATATCCTAAGAAAAGAAGAAGGAGCACCAATGTTCTTTCAATGATGGAGAATAGGAACAAGGCTTTTCAGTGAGAATCTTACTCCTAGGCTTAATACATTTTCCATATCTGATTCGATCCCCTTTACCTGAGTTCCTCTGCAGGCGTATCCTATAATATTTTGCTTACAGAATCAGCTACTTCATAGTACAAAATATCTTTTCCATTAGTCTATAACAAAATGAAACTATAGGTATAGAAGTCATCATTGAAAGAACAT